AATGATGTTTCCACTCTTTTGCCATTGCCAATGACAATCTGCTATTTTTATGATATATTAGTATTATTAGAATATATTATTAGTATATCTGAAGTACAGAGCTTCCGTTGGGATTCAGCTTGCTCCCTTGTTTATTATGTATGCACATCACCTCAGTGCAGGGTATTTACATTTATTCAAGTGTTGAGCAAATCATGGCTTCTAAAAAACAGAAAGGTGATTTCAATTGAAACAAAGCAAGACATCATCAGGAGTGAGTTGACAAAAACTTCCTTGTCAAATGGGGAGAGGTTCAGGAATTTACCAACACTTATTATCCAAACAGAGCTGAGGCCAACAGGATCTCTACAATGACACCCTTGCCTGTCATTTCCGACAAATGTTGAAAAAGAGAGAAACAGACCACCCTGGACATGATTTTCAAGAAGCCAGCTGCCAAATAACAAAGGATGGAACAAGAGGAGTTGACCCTGCAAGCAACGGTAGCCTCTCCTGAATATGACTCTGATTAAAAAACAATAAAAAGAAACCTGCTGCAATGTGTAAAAAGTTATATCTGTATTTGTGTGTGAAGAAAGTGTTCCTCCACCTCCTCCTCACAACATTTGACTATCCGGCATAATTGGTGACTGCTCCATTTTCATTTTTTTATAGTACAGTACGGTTATTTTATGCTGCGGAATGAATTATATGTTTTAACACGTATTTCAATGGGAAAATGAGTTTCGTATAACGGACTTTTCACTTAACGGACGTGCACCTGGAACAGAAGTACGTTATATGAGGCACCACTGTATATGTATATTTATTATACCCATTAATCAGACAAATTAACTCAAAAGTTTTTTTTGTTACAAATAGAAATAAAATGATAGAAAAAAAATAGAACAACACTTTGACTGTGACAAAATATTAGAATATTAGCAAAAACAGCCAAACAGCCATAAATAGCTAAATTGTGATGCAAATTTGCAAGCAGTGCAGTACAACATGGGGCATAAGTGCGAATCAGTGACAGAACTAAAGATTCTATCATAGCCTTGCACAAAGCACGAAGAACACAAAAGAAATTGCAAATTATGTAAAGTACTCGCAGCCAACAGTCTCTAGAGTACTGAAACAACAAAACTCTGTTCAAGTTTTAACTAACACATGCCAGAAATGTGGATGTAAATGAGCAACGACTGCGAGGGATGAAAACTTGAGGATTGTCGTGCAAAACCGCTTTAAAAGCATTAAACACTTACATGCACAATGCAGAACAACTGGAGCGAATGTTAGTAGTCGAACCACATGCCGAAGGTTGTACAACTTGCACTTCAACTGCTGTGTCAAGACAAAGCCATCTCTAATGAAAAAGCAACAACAAGCGCATGTCAGATGGTGCACAGAGAGAGAGAGAGAGGCTCATGTGAGATGATGACTGGAACAATGTTCTCTTCAGTGAAGAATCCTTGTTTTGTCTCTCCTGTGATGACCAAGGCCTACATGTATGGAGAACAACCAAAGAGGCTTTAGGCTTTTGAAAAAGACTGTGAAGAGATCCTTGAAGTTTGCATCATCTGTCATGATCTGGAGATGCATGAGTGTAATGGTTTAGGACAACTGTGCATTCTTTGGGAACATGTCAATGCACAGACATATCAAGACATCTTACAGACATTTATGATACCATCAACAGAATTTAGATGAGGAAACATTTCTATATCAATAAGACGAGCATCATCTCATACTGCAAAGTCAACAATACCTTGGTTACAAGAACGATAGATTGCAACCCTACATTGGCCAAGCAATTCCCCGGACTTAAACCTGATTGAAAATTTGTGGGGAGTCATGAAACGACAACTTAATAAACAGTGCCCAACTTCTAAAGAGGAACTAGTGACATGCCCTCGACACATTTGGAACTACATCACTGAAAACAAATGTGAAGCATTAATCTGCACCATGCCTGACAGATTGCAAAGCAATGATTATGGCAAATGGCAATGCCACAAAATACAGTAGAGCGTCAATTATCAGAATGCCAATCAACTGAAACATCGGTTAACCGAAAGCATTCCGGTCGGAATGTGTCATGCTGAATCAAATATACTAGATTAACTTCTAAAGTATAATTTTTTTGTTTTTATATTTTTCAATATATTTGTTTTGTTTGTACAAAATAAAAAAATAATTTATGATACAATAGCCACGATTATTTTATAAAAATTCTTGTTAGGCTTAACATCGACAAAAATTCAATGCGAAGCAACATGCAACAGAGAAAAATTTAAACATGGGATATACTAATATACTATATTAATAATGTATTTTTTCGTACATAAATCGGTTATCCAAAAAATTGATTTTCCAAACAACCCCCATCCCCAATTGATTTGGATAATCAACACTCTACTATAGTAAGATTATTTTGTTGTATTTCCTATATTTAACCTACATTTAGCTAATATTCTAATTTTTTGTCACAGTCAAACTGTTATTCTAGTTTTTTGTCATTTCATTTCCATTTGTAACAAAAAACTAAAAAACGTTTGAGTTAATTTGTCTGATTACTGGGTATAATAAATATACATAGAAATTGTTTATGTAGTGTCAAAAATAATTTTCGTACTCTGTATTGTTCATGAAAAAATGCACACAAAACTTTCAATTAGGTGAATATTCTAATTTTTTGTCTAGGAGTTGTATATAATGAAATGCCATCTTGTGGTCCCTACTAGTTTAATGAATTTTTTTGTAGGATGCACATTTTGAATTATTCCAGTGGATTTATTGCATAGACCACCTGTGCATGTAGCTGGAGTTCAACATTTTATGCAATTTAATGTATATATTTTTGAAATAATAAAATGACATCTTGTACAATTAAATATTTTTTTTAATTCTAATACAAACATTTTCAATTCTCAGAGAAAATAATTGTTATTTTTAATGCTGCAAACTTAAGATAAACTAATTGTTTTAATTTTTAGTTATTATATGAGATACATTTTAGATGGAAATTGGTGAATCATTACTGAAAATATATACTGCTAAACTGTCATAAAACAATGAAAATGCCATATGCAATTTGGCCTTGCAGTATCAACAGTGTTATGAAATCAATAATTTCTAGTAAATATTAAGAGTGGCATATTGGATAAGTATGCATCAATAAATTCAAAATACATGTAAAATAGTTGTAATTAATCTTTTACAATAAGTTCTAATCTTAGTAGAAATTTACCTGCTGTTTAAAATATATATGTAAAATATTAAAAACATAGGAATAAAATTTAATAAATATAATTAAAAATAAAAGTGTGTGATAAATTTTAAAAAATATTTTTGTTTTGTCTAGTACTATTTTAATATATTATTTTTTCTGCTATGAAAACAGTCTCTGCATTAACATTTTTGTCATTATAAAATTCAATATTAACAGATGCTACCTATCACATTAAATGAATCTTTTAATCATTGTTGTATTTACATTTTGATTTTAAAAAATTTAAATTCTTTTCAACTTTTTCATGAGACAAAATTTATTATAAATTTTCTATTTGTTTCAACAATTTGAGAAACTATTAATCTAATTCTCTCTTTCATCACGTAATAAATATTTCAAACTGTACTTATAGCTAATTCTGAAATATGTAGTCTGATAAATGTATATAAATGCAATAACATACATATATAAAATATATAGTTGTAATAAAATAATAATCTCATTTGTTGAATTCATTAATGATCTCGATTAAATTTAAATCAACTTACATATTCCTAAATGATCAGGTGTGACTATAGTAGGAGATACAGATACTGTTGTATTATCTCATCCAAACCATTCATGTCTTGTTCCATGTCACTTCTTTGAACATATGTTGATTACATGGTCTATATAGACCATTCTTTATTTCAATTAGTAGTTACTGTCTTAAATAAACATTATTATTCAAGAAACTTTCCCTATCTCCTATATACCAAATCTCTGACTTGGCAAGAAGTTAAATTATAATTTTCTGCTTTTTATAACAGGATTAAATATTTACATTGCTTTTTGATTGAAATTTTTAATATCTTATCTCTAGCTGAATGTTTAGATTCCATGCAATAATTTATTATAATAAAGCTATGAAAAAATTGAGAAATACTTATATGCTAGATCACATGTTTTACTCTGCCTATTGTTTCTAGTGCATACTCAAGGTCAGATTATTAAGAATATCTTCAGTTTATAACAGAATATAAACAAACAAGTACTTATTGTGAAATCATCATAATGCTAGGCTGCAATTTTTAATCATATTTTAATCAAAAAATAAACTCTGTACCTGGCTTGATTTTCATGTATCTAACTCCACAAAAATTTTGAATTGAAAATCATATGACTTCTGGTCAAGACCAGAAATTCATATATAGTTAATTGGGACTTCTGGTCCCTAAGCTTTTCATATTTGGTCTCACTTTTCATCTAACTCTGCTTGAGATTAACAAAGAACAAATGTATTCACAAATAGATGAAAGTGGGAATGTATAGGCCTGCAATTTGAAAACTGCAGCTCAATTATGTATAGATTTAAAGTTCTTTTATTTGTTATAGAATTTTATATCTGTTTGCTTTTGAGTTTTCGATTTAACAGAACAATTGTTATTTCTGTGATTAAATAAAAAACAGATATCAAATTCCAAATTTTTTTGAAAAATTATTTAATTTTGAAAATTTAACTAATCTGTTCAAAAAAGATATATAACTTAATTTATATTCAATTATTAGTTATAATATTTTGAAAATAAAGTTAGTTTCATTTTGTTGAATCAATATTAATCTGTTCATTTCAAATCTCTCTCTCTACAAATGTATAATTATTTAATGAATAAAAATTTTAACAATTTTTTTCTTCCTTTTACAGTTACAAGTTATAGAAAAACATGTTTAAACAGCAAGAAATCACTAATAAAGCACAAAGAGGAATCAAATTTTATTACATAAATAATGGAGGAACAGAATTTACCTTGAAGTTTTTCCATCAGCTTCTCCCTTGAAGTCTTTCCTTTTCCTTCCCATTTTGAGACTTTATGTAATTCATCACTTGTACTACACATCATAAAACTGTAAATTTTAATAAAAATTTGATTATTATATATTTAATTTCTTTGGGTTTCAAGTAAATCTATATATATAAATGGACATGTGTGTCCCTATATTTCATTTTTCAGCCAAAACTACACATCGCACATGAATGGTGTTTGTATGTGGTAGCAGCCTCAAGTCTCCATTCGTGCACTATGGTGGTTGTGTCTTGATAGCTATAAGGGTGCAGGAGATATGGGGGCTTAAAGTGGTTGAAATCGAAGATTTTCTATTTCGATTTCAAAAATTTTCGAATTCGAATTGGTTCGATTGTAGAACAATTGTAAACGTTCCAGAAAATTGATCAAATTGAAAATAGTTTGTTTGACTGGACGTAAAAATTCTCTAATTGTAAGGAACCAAGTCTGAGCTTTATTTTTATTTTACTTTTATTTTGCTTTCATTATATTTTGTTTGGGGCTTATGTTTAGTTAAGACGAAGGTTTCCTCACCATTCACCTTAGTAACTTAAAAATAGAAGAAAAACCAACTCACCGACGAAAGAAAAGCGCCGTAGAAAAACTCGCGCACACTTGCGCTTCCCAAGCGGAAAAAAGTAAGTCCGCACCGAGAAAAAGGGGGGGGAAGACCCCACAACCCAGTTAGGAATCGCTAAACCTTAAAAGAATAAAGCATCCCGATAATTGTTAAAAAGAATAATGTAAAAGGTTAGCGAAGTATTGTCGGAAAATAATCTGCCAGATAAACAAGAAAAATTTAATGTTACAGATAAGTATGTAAATGAGGAGAGTGAGCTCATTCAGAATTGTGACGTCACCTCACACTATAAAGCCTCTAACTCAAGTGAAAACGAACGAGGTGAATTCCTGATAGCAACGAGCTTTGGTGAGCTTCGTAGCAGTGAACGAGAGAGGTGTCCGATAGGATTTTGAAGTTATTCGATTTGTGGATCGACGATTATAGAAAGTCTTGAGAGTTTGAGGAAATAGGTTCCTAGTATATTGAGGTGACGATTAGGATCTTTAATTTATAAGAATTATTGTTTATAAGTTAATTCTTTGATTTTGTCGAATTCCAAAGGGGAATAGAATTAAGTTAGAAATAGATTGATTTGAGTTTGTCGGATTGATTCTTGTTGAATTTCATTGAATAAATTATTGTTTGATTTTTACTAAATACTGTATATAGTTTATTACTAGAAGTTTAATTAAATATTTGATTTTGTTATTGACAAACTTTGTCATTATTTAATTCGGTGCACGCTTAAAGTCCAGGCCTGGCACACTAACGCGAATCCGCGTAAAGTACCCGTTAGGGAACGGCTATTTCCGGCACGCAGTAGTGTCGATAATCGTTGGAAAGTCGGAAAAATAATATAGTACTTTACATAATTAGTCTGGAAACGGGGGACTTAATTCTTGCATTCTGTGAAAACGAGTAAGATTGGCTATAATTTAATTATCTTCACTATCGTTACTTTTGCCCACAAATAAAAACCCAGCGAAGCGGGTCCTTGCAGCTAGATTATAGATTACTTAGAAAAACAGTCTTTTATATATAAAAAAACTATATTACATACAAATAAAAGTCCAGCGAAGCAGGTCCTTGCAGCTAGTCGTTAGAATAAATTTTTACTTTCAAAACTCATTAATGGACTATGTTTGAACAGATAAAATGCAGAATATCCACTAATTATTACTAAATAAGCAAAAAATGAATATTTCAAAATAAAATTGGATCTTGAATTACATGCTAAATATAAAAAGGATTATGTTTTGATATGAATATGAAAGCTAGTACACTTCAGGAAACATTTTAATCAACTATTTTTCCTTTTTTTTTTTAGCAATAAAGTTCATCTTAAAATGGGAGCTGCAAAGTATTACATTCAGATTCTTCAGAAGATAATCAGCAACATAAATAAAATAATAATCATGTTTTCTGTGATCATTACTCTATTCTAATAATGAAATCATCTCATTTTAGTACAAATGGCTTTTCTTTCATTTTGGAATCTTTCATTTAATAGTTATTTAGGTTATGACTAAAAAAATGCTAAAATAAAATATTTTTTTAATGTTAAATAGTTCAATGGATTTCTTTAGGTTTAAAAATTTATATACATTCATTAAATCAAAATACATTAAATGGGATTTTGCTTATATTAAAATGACAATTAATAAAAACAGAAAATTTTCCAAGTTTGAGTTAAATGTATGTATGCATGCATGCAATCAATATGCATGCAAAACCAAAGTACTTTTGTTAATGTTACTTAAGTATCAATAAAAATTCTATTAATTTAATGGAAAATTGCTACAACAGCTGAAAAATTGTGATTTTCATTGCAACTTGATTAAATACTAGATAAAAACTATTGCAGAGATTTATAGATAAAAAAAATTTTAAATTTCTTTAAATTAAGAATTTAGTTTACCCATTTAGTAATCACAAGATCTTGCATTACATATGTAGGAAGGAATAACAGAGCCAAGAATATAAAATATATATGAATATATATATATATTTATTGTAATTAAATATATAAAATATATAAAAAGAATATATGTACTTTATTTAGAAAAAAATTCTGTTCATCACAAAAAGAAAAATAGAAGAAATTAAGAGTGTTTCTTAAAAAGTAGAATATTCCTACTTTCCTACTAAAAAGTAGAAACAATAAGATGAATTAAGTCTGCAATATAAACACCCATATATAAATTACAAACTATCATATTAGAATATACTGTAGAATGCTTAATGCATAATTTTTCAATCACCAAATACAGGGCAATTCACTCAAGACTGAACACTTATGTAGAATTACTAATATAAAAACCATATGAATGTACACAAATTCCTTATAACTCCTGCAATTTTTGTCCAATCCAGATGAAATTTTGATAATATTCGTTTTATGTTCTGATGGAAGGTATAGGCTACTTATTTTGCAGAAATATTAGATATGGAATAAACATTTTATCAATGTCAGATTGGTGATCACACATTGCAGTGATGTCAGTGACCAGGTGACATTAATGCCTGATGAGGGAATTTCCCTTAAGTTGCATTTTTAAATATTTTGGCAAATGGCATATTTAAACTTACTTCATTAAATTAAAAATTTTTCAACTTTAAAAAAAGAAAGACACATTGTGTCACTTTTATAACAAATTTAAAAAATTTTTCTATAGTAACCACATGACATTCTATTAGCCAATCGGAAGTAATGATCTAACAAACCAGTTATTTAGAAAGTGTTCTTGCTCATCTAACTAACATACATATAATTCATTTTTGTTTTAACTATGTGAAATTAAAAAGACTTACTATTTTGTTTTTTTAAAAAATGCCTAAGGGAAAGCATAAGAGTAAAACTGGTCATGTAAATTCTAAATCTAAAAGAAAAAGAACAAACCCCCCCTGAATGCTATGAAATCCGACTTGGATAACATCAAGTAAGAATGGCATCAACAAGGGCTGCAGAAACACCATCACAACGTCAAGAATTGAGAAGAGCCTCAAGTTGCACTTCAATCTCTACTTTCTCATAAAAAATATTCCATCAGGCTTGATAGGAGAATTTCTAGTATCTTTGTATAAAATGAAAAGATGAGTATGAAATACAAGCTGAATGAATATATTTCATGACAAAGTAGTCAACCTAGGTATTTTTACATTACATGTTATTCAAATGTGACTGTGCAATCACAAGATATGAATGAAGTGAGTGTTTAGTACCAAGTGAATAACCCTGTAGTTAATATATTTAGCCAAACAATCACCTTATATGCCAGACATGGGCAAATGCAGCTCTTTTTGAAATACATGCGGCTCTTGCTGAAAGTGTTAATTTCTGCTTTTTAGTATTATTTTTACAATTTTATTTCCACAATTTTGTGAAAATATGTTCATTAGAAAAATTCAATATTTCTTTTATATTATATTTATATTATATAATAAAATCGCAGTACAGAACTGCAGTACAGAATAAAAAAGTACAGAACTGCAGCTCCCATGCATTTTGCAAACCTACATTTCGACTCCCACTGAACTCTTGCTTGCCCACCCATTATATGCAGTAACATATAAAATCTGATGCCATTCAACAAATATTGCATTTATAATACAGCATAGAAAAATAACACAGTAATAAAAAGATTTGTTTTAAAAAATGCAGACAAAAATTTACGATAATAAAAATCAAATCATAACACATTCTTAATAAATGTGACACTTCTGTAAATTGGAGAACTGGCTGACATTTATTAGGGATATCACAATTAGAGTGCATTTTTCATTTCTTGACACATTGTGCTTTTCTAAATGTCTACACATCATTCTAATGTTCTTATAAACTTTACTAGCTGTACCCAGCCACGCTTTACTGTGGCTCAAAATGTATCTATTATAAATGTATAACACTCCCTGCAAGGGAAAATTTTGAAAAATCCCTTCTTAGTGTACATTCTCTTGATGTACCCTATTAAAACGCAATCAAAAATGTAAATGTTTATTTCTAAAATACTATAATAGAAGCCCAGTTTTTCATGGTAAGCCTTAATTTTGTCCCTCTCCCCCACAGGGGAATTTTGACATCTATATAATATGAAAGCATGCACATATTTGAACACAACATTGTGTTGAAATTTCAAAGCAATTGGTGAAGAACTTTTGAAGATTTAAGTTTTTGACAAACAAACATTTACATTTTTATTTACATAGATTTAGAATGTAACTTGAGACTTTTCCCACTTATTTTGTTAAAGATACTGTATTAAATTTTTAGGATGTAAATATAAGTTTCTTATATAAGTATTAGCAAAAATGTAGCATTGATAAATATGTACATTATATGAAGTTTGGGTGTTAAAAACCAAAAAATGTTCTACAAGGAACACATTAAGTAGGACTGCTGTAGCTATTATTTCATAAAATATGAGGTGTTGTCAGTGGCATAGCATAGTGGAGGCAACAGGGGTAGCCCGCCCCGGGCGGCACTTTTAGGGTGCTGCAAAATTTCAAAATAAATAATAATATTTTGTAAAAATTTGAACCATTTCATTTCATATTTTTGTCGCACCTACAATTTGGATCAATTGAAATGAGCATGGAATTTTTCATTACTTATTCTGTGACGAAACTGAATTTTAGTCTTTAAATTGAGATACCTAAATAAGGGGGATATATATACCGAAATAGATTTAGTGATATATTGCCAAAGAAGCTAATGATATTTAATTTTGTTGAATTATTGTTGCAAGAACATGATATGGTGAAAAAAATGAGTTTGATAATATGAAAAGTAACAACACCCAGTGGCGTAGCATGGGTGTCAGCTGCCCACAGCGAAATTTTCCTCAGCCCCGGATTTCCATCAATGGAGGGGAGGGAAAAAAACGTCAACAGCTTGCGATACATCTGAATTAATAAGGCTCAAGTTAACTCTCAATTTACTGTCATTATCGTTTCTCAGCCATACTATTATTATACTAATCTTTCAGAGGTCTGAGTTATTAATAATGTGAAAAATGCATGTTATCAGTTTAGTCTCTAAAGGGAGTGGCGCTACAATGAGATCTCGCACCATCTGAAAACCTGGCTAGGGCCACCACTGCAGGTAAGGTATGTCTATACTATGGTTAGTAAAACAACTAAGTTCTAAGTTTTTTTTAGAAAATGTAAAATTTTAAAATTTTTCTGAAATAAAAAAAAAACAGAACTAATTATGTAAATAATAATTCTAATTAATTTATTAACATAAATTAATTAAAATATAAATGTTGTATTTTTTGTAAAAAATGAAATTTTTTAAAGATAGTTATTGATGATGATTACATTTATTTCAAGTCATAAATTAGTTAAATAATAATCTATTAAATGTAAAGATGCATACCTGCTAAGTTCATGTACACGAGAAGTATTATGTTTTAAAGGGGTTAACTCGTGGCGAAGACACTGAAGAGCTTCTAAGATATGGCCATCTTCAAGTTGTTCTAAATATTTTTGTTCCAGCAATAAAAATTTCATTTCCTATAATAATTAAAAATGAACAATTTTGATTGTATACAATAGATTTAAACATATGAACACAAATTATATTCATCAGTCTTATTAACATTAATTTCATGTGTGACGTTTAATTTACTTCTAGCAAGTAGTCAAATACATTTTTAATCCAGATATTGATAACAGATTTTACAAATTTTGTCCAAAGTATTTTTACAAAAACTTTAAACTTGCTATTTAATACAGCAAAACTTCAATTTAACAGACTTCAGATTTAAAGGACAAAATTTCTGGTCACTATTTCATAGGTAAAAATTAAAATCCTGTTAATTTTAAAATGCTTTTTATATTAATTATATTGATATTAACACATTGTTTTTTTTCAACTCAAAAAGTCATTGCTCATAACTTCACATGGCAACGTGTTTCTCAATATTTATTCCCCTTCGGATGACAAATTTTTTGGTGTTTTTGTCAAACTCAAATTTTTCTTTTTTTCAAAAAACATTATTTGTTTAATTAAATAGAATTAAAGTATATTTAACAAAAAAAAAATGTTTATTTTGATTTAGATCATAGCTGTTTTTTACAGTCTCAGAAATATATTAAGTACACAAGCAATAATACATACAGAAAACTTTTCTGTGAAATTAAACTTCTCATACATACTTAATTTAATTATACAAACGTGTCTATATAATCTACATAAGATAAAAAATTGACAAATTACTTAGTTTAACACAATCATTTTAACAGACCCTGTTGCCAGAATTAGTCTGTTAAAAACAGTAAAACCTTGATTTAAAATTATTTCTTAGTAAAAAAAAATAGTTGATTTCAGATAAGAGATCATATAAAAAAATTACTGATTACTTATCAAAACAAATTTTATTTGGATTAAAAAATGCCATTTGAATTTGAATAAAAACTTCAATAATGATAAATAGAATTTTTATATGTAAATTAGTAATCTTGCTTTTTGAAAAGCAAGTCTTTGAATCTATATTCAAAGTAAAAAATGATCAAGTAGAGAGCGTGACTAAATGCTTCATACTATCTTAGGAGATATTTGTATCTCCTAAGATAGTATATATTAATAATTTTATGGATAATTGCATATAGTGGTGGTTACAATTTTGTGATCACCACATTGCAAAATAGCCTTGCCTTTTGCAAATTCAATAAACATAACAAAATTAGAATTTATGTTAAAATATACAGTGTGTGTTTTTGAAATATGCTCATTTTTATCTTAATAAGTAGAGAAAAGTCATATTCATACAGGTAAAAGTGGACAACTAGATACTTGAGTTATTCACAATGAAAATGCAAGTAAGAAATAAACAAAGTTTCTTGCTAAAAGAAAAATAGTGTAATTTTGTCAGTCTGTAAGTGATAAAAAAAAAAAATGTATCCACAAGCAATCATTGAAAAGGTAAAGTAGTTGTTTCAGAACAGAAGGAATATTTGAGAAATTTCTTGCAAAATGGCTATTCCAATAAGTTCTGTGCACAATAAGTGCTTATACACAATTATTACAGTAAAGCCAGAAAACACAAGTTATCTCAAACATAAAACTTAAATTAAGGAAGAAGTGAATCAACTCTGGACAAAACAAACATGTTATATCGTGTAAAAATCAAAGAAACCTGTCATTTGCTTGCATCAACACTGATTGTACAACATTCAGTAAAACAGGAAAGATTTATATATCACCACATGAAGCAACAACTACCTTTAATCTCAGAACAAAGATTGGCTTGCTGAAGTGATGGAATGGCTACAGATGCATATCCATTTAATAAAACTGTTTTCTTTGACAAGAAATGTTCTTCTAATGGACAATATATTCTTGGAACCTACAGTGATGACTCTTCCATTCTTTGAATATTGAAGTATCAGATGGGAGGCAGAAGTATTATGGTATGGGCTCTGGTGGGTCCTGAAGGATTTGTGCATGTTGAATTACTAAAGTTCGTAAAAGTTGTTATTTGAATATTGCAGAATTGTGTAAGCCAATATTATATGCTCAATTCCCAGATGATAACTAGTTTCAACACAATGCACAAATTCATACTGTAAAAAAAAAAATGATATATGTAGTATGTTAAAATAGTTTTGTTTAAGATTGTGATATGGCTTCCTAAGAGTCCATACTTGAACATTACTGAAAATGTTTGTCATAAACACCATGGCTGATCATCTGCCAATGAGCAGTTTTCTTCGCAAACTGTATCTTAGACAAAAATTCAGGAAGTTGTAAAAAGTCTATCAATGAAAACAAAAATCAAACATTATTTAAAAAATGTTTGACACTCATAATCACAGATTGTTGGAAATAATTAACAAAACAAAGATGATAAAAAAATATTAATTATTCATTACATTGAGCTTACTTTTAGATTGTTTTTGTAAAGTATATCTGGTGTTCACAAAATTATGTCCACACTGTATTGTGCATTTTTATGATTTGCTCAAAACTAAATTAAATGTATTAAAAAAATTCTGTATCTTATTTAACATTAAATCTAACATCAGAATAAAAACATAATACATTTGCAAAAACTACTTTTACAATGTGGTGTTCACAAAATTGTGTTCACCACTGTAATGTTATAAGGTGTGTTTCAAATTGATACGGACACAAAAAAAATTAAAGTGAAACACAAATTTGCTGCATTATGTGACAAATGTTTCATTAAAAATAACATGATTTACATGTTTCTACACTGCAGAATAAAAATTTTAATCAAACGTTAACATTTTGTCACTGAAAATAATATTTTTGAAAATTTTGTACAAAAAAATCTGTTACATATTTATTCGGACAGGCACTCATTTCATGAATTAAACAGAATATTGTTTAGTTTCAAACATTGAAATATGCAAATCAGCTTACATATCTAATTGTAATACAAATTTTTTATGTTGTTTTACGTTCTAAAATGAGTAGAACAAAGAATTTATCTGATTACGAAAAAGGGCAGATTGATGCCTATAAATCACAAAGCAAGTCAATAAGAGAAATTGCAGCATATATAAATCGTCCAAAATCAACTGTTGGTGATTATTTATCAAAAAGACATGACAAGGATGTACCAAAATTCAAGACAGGTCCAAAACCCAAGCTTACACCTCGAGATTGAAGACAAATCATCAAGGTTTGCTCCACGAAACAAACATCAGTAAAAAAAATAAAACAAGAATTAGACTTGCCTTGTAGCAGCACAACAGTGTGGAGAGTTTTAAATAAATGTACAACGTTAAAATTCAGAAAAAAAAGCTATAATGCCACCACTTTCATTAAAGCACAAAAGTGACAAACTTGATTGGGCACAAAAACACATGACATAGTCCAAAGAATGGATTGAAGTTCAGTGATGAAAAACAATTCATCTTAGGTAGTCCAGACGGTTGAAAGTATTATTGGCTCGATTTAAAAACTGAAAAACAAATATTTTCAAAAATGCCAAATGGATGTGGGATCAACAATAGTGTGGGGTGCGTTTGGATTCAATGGAACCACAGATTTAGCATTAATAACTCATAGAATGAATTCAGAGAAGTATCAAGCCATGCTTGAAAAATCATTTAGTAGAAACTGGACCAAATATTTGGGGACCAAATTGGATCTTTCAACAAGACAATGCCCCTGTGCATGCCTCTAAATCAACAAAAATGTGGTTTAAATGTAAAAATATTAATCTGATGACATGACCTGCTAGAAGCCCTGATCTGAATCTGATGGAAAATCTTTGGGGATGAAGGTTCGTACAGTTTATGCCAATGAAAAGCAGTTTTTCACAATTCATGATTTGAAAGCAGCAATTTCAGATGCTTGTAATAAACTTAAGTTTGAATTCCTTCAGAATTTAATTGAAACAATGCCTAATCGAGTATTTAATGTAATTAAGTTAAATGGTGGTTAAATTGGCCATTAAATTGTAAGAAAACTTTGCAATTTGAAACCTGTCCGGATAAATATGTAAGAGTTTTTTTTGTACAAAATTTTCAAAAATATTATTTTCAGTGACAAAATATCAACGTTTGATTAAAATTCTTATTTTGCAATGTGAAAACATGTAAATCCATGTTATTTTTAATAAAACATTTGTCACTTAATGCGGCGAATTTGTGTTTTACTTTAATTTTTTCGTGTCCGTATAAATTTGAAACACACCTTAACTAACATGACATGCATCCTGTTTTTAGGTAGTCTATCCTGTTATCCCCAAGCACAGCTTCAGGATGCTGAAATGTCCCATTTTCAGAGAGAGAACAACCTGCAGTAACAATTTTGGAAAAAAAGGAGCAAAAAATCATCCAACAGTAGTCCCTAGTAGTGCAGTGATGACGGCATGGCAATACGTCTCACACAAATATAAGTCAGAAGCCTAGTAGCTTGCTCTATCCTCTGTTGCAAATACACATACATAGCTCACGCATCTTTCTTGACAACTAATTATTGTTTTTTTTTATCAACATGCATTATTGTAGTCAATTTAAATTTCTTGTATGTGAATCCTTCATTTTAACAATGCCTAAATACAAATGCACTTTTAATGTTAACTTACAAACTAAGTACCTGTGTATAAAGCAAAGACATACTCCATTGGACATCAGACGTGAAAGTATACAGAATTTAGCACAGCTCATGGAGGTGCCAGCAATATTAATCATCATTTAAGACCAGAAAAACATAAAAATTCCGACCTTGCTGCCGCTTTGAGTTCTTCAATGCTTAATTTTTTTTAAGAAAATGGATTCACCAACTTTGAAAGATCTGGAAGTTGCTGTGACAAAAAGGCACCTGGGCTTATCATATGGTGCGAGAGAACCACAGGAGTTTGCTCAAACAATTGTGCTTCTAAATTAACTCAAACTTGTTTTGAAGAGAAATTTAGATGTGCTCGAACAAAAACAGAAGCTATTATTGTAAATGCATTAGCACCAATAGTAACATGAATTAAAGATCTCTTCAGCAAGTTTATATACCTAAATTCTTTGAAAGGGTTAAGAAAATATTAGCTAATAAAATAAATTTAATACCAGAAAAAAAATTAACAATCAAAAAATATTTATATTATAGAAGTACAGTAATAAAAAACAGGAAATAACAGAAGAAAATGATGTAGTATACTCATTTGATTGTAATTGTAGACAAAGAAAAACATATATAGGAGAAACAAACAGAAAATTGAAAATACGGTAGAGCATCGATTATCCAACTCAATTAGGGACTCAAGTTAGTCGGATAACTGAAAAAATCGGATAACCGAAAAGAATGAAAAAAATACATTATTAGTATAGTATATTAGTATATCGCTATTAACCAACTTCGCGTTGAATTTTCATTGATGTTAAGCCTAACAAATTTTTTTTTAAAATAATAATAATCGTCGCTATTGTATCGTAAAAATTTTTTTAAAAATTATTTTATTGCTCTCACAAAACAAACAACCACTCATAATTAGAAAATTAAGTCTCGTTTAAATACTGGACTTCCTTTCATGGTCGAGCCAGTGCTGCCAGCTAAAACACGCAAAAATTTAACAAAAATAATATTAAAGTAGCCAAGACATAGCCAAATATTGTAGTGGACATTTGAAATTTGCTGACTAGAATGGTTGGTTAACCAATGTGACGGTTAATCAGGGGTCGGATAATCGATGCTCTACTATACATATAAAGGAACACATTTGTGCTATTAAAGATAATTATGCATATTCAGCAGTGGCTGAACACTGCAATACAAATGGATGTGAAATAGATTTAAATACAGTCAAAATAAAGAGAAAAGAAAACGATAATTATAAAAGGCAACTATATGAACATATGTACATTAAAAGACAAAGCAATAACAACTTGAGAAGAGAAATCCACCAATCCCGGGACAGTATTATTGACGGGTAGCAGATTGACACATCTATAGAGGAAATGTACATAGAAATACAATAATGGTCCAGGCAAAGGGAGGTGTTGGATATGTTGGTTTTAGGAAAATGTTTTCACAATCCCCCTTTTTAAATATGCATTTTTTAAAATAGTTCATTTATATATACAAGATCGGAGACTTAATATGGATTTTTATGTTATTTTTATATTTTGATGTTATTAGAGACCAAAATAATGTAAGTCATTTTAATAGTAATTATTGAACACTGAATTATTGTAGCATTATTGTAATCCCTTTTTAAATCTTGTTTTTAGCACATGGTGGTGGTAAACCTGCTGATGAGGGACTGAATGATCCAAAACATAAAGCGTGTAAATTGTGTACAGGTAAATCAGGCCAATAATAAAAATTTTTTTTATTTTTTTCTCTGGATACATTTCCTCATTTTGCAGGACTTGGACACCTAATAATAAAATTGTATAATAAGGACACAAAGGCTTAAGAATAAAATATTCCCTGTTTTAGTTTGCTTCTTTTTACCATATGAAGGAACACAAGTCAAACCTATAGAATTTCAAGAGCAACCAGGTGAAACATCAGATGTTATTGTCAATTATCTAATGAAAGTATTGACAGAAAATAATTTGACTTCAAAACCCATGGCATTTTGTGGAGATAATACTAACCGCAATTTTGGTGAATTGAAAAGACAAGGCATCAACAATGTTTAAGCAAAACTAAATTTATCTCTCAGAAGAACATTGATAGGAAACAGGTGTAGAGTGCATACAATTCAATGTGATTAAAACTGCTGTGATTGTCTACCTGTAGACTTTGAATGTGTAATTGTGAAAATATATTCACATTTTTATATCTATAGTGGTTGCGTGGAAGATCTGACAGAATTTTGTAATGAAGTTGACACAGAGTATCACAAATTGCTAGGCTATAGTAAAACTAGGTGGTTTGCACTTATGCCTGCTATTGAAAGTTTTGAAACTGCACAAGCCATTAAAAAACTACTTTTTGAGTATCAATAAATGTCCAAACATATTAAGAACCTTTAATGAAAACCCTAACTCTGAATTATGGCTTTTTTTTTTCATGCATGCACAGTCAACAATGTTTCCATCAAGCTGTGTTAAAGATCTAGGATCAGAGTATTTCTGTAATTGAAGCCATGTAGGAAATAAATCAACTCAAAGACAATTTGACCTTGAAACAAAGTAACCTGTTTCTTTCCCACTCCATTCATAATTTAATGGCAAAATTGAAAGAAAGTGGCTGCAGTAATGTCGACAAAGAATATATGAAAACTACAGCTGCAGAGTTCTATAAAATAAGCAAAAGAATATTTGGAGCAGTGAACTTTGTCCTTTCAAGAATTAGAAATATTTGAATGGTCAAATTTAACCAAAATACCTAAGTGGAAAGAAATTAAAAGTGTAATGAATGTATTGGTTGAAAAGGGATTTATTAACCAAAATACAAAGGTATTTGATGAGTATTCACTTATTTCTAACTACATTACACTTAATTTTAACACTGCAAAAAGTGACAGAATGGAACACTGGGAAAGTTTCAACCAAAAGTCATTGGGTGGAATTGTTCAAACACTTTCACACTAATAATTTCAAATCATACGAACTTTCGTATAATTATTGAGTATATTTTATGTCTGCCTGGCACTAATGCACCCATAGAAAGGGTCTTTTATGAATAAGTTATAAATGAGAGGAAAAAACAGTTACATTGCTTTAAGAATTGACTTGCTAATTTTTTGCAACTATATTTTTTCTATTAATAATTACATTACTCTTATATTTATAATAAAAAAAAGTAATTGCTATAATATGTTAAAATTTTACTTTATGACTATTGCATTAAACTGATTAATTCTTAAAGCATTAACAATGTTATCTTAAAATATTTGCTAATCTTTAATTTGCTTAACAATTATACATTTTGTTAATGAGTTAAAATTGTAAATTCTGGCTTAGTACAAAATTACCAATTGTTATACAGTAGAAGTTTGATCCTGTAGGTTTTGGATTAACAAAATGGTGTTGAATTACTGGGCATTTTTGCATATAACTAAATCAAACTTTATTAAAATACTATCTGAATGTCACAGACTGTGTACTTTGTACCAGCCATACTATTATGCACTTCTGATTTCATTATATGTGCTTCTTATTTGTCTGATGATAGTATATAGTTTATAACACCTGTCATGAGTGCATCTCTGTAAAGATTGATTGGAAAACCTGCAAAACATTAAACAAATATTACTAAACAAAATCAAAATTCACAATAATACACACTCATGTCCAAAATTAAAATCATACAAAAAGGTGTACATAGCAAAAACATCACGGGAATGAATGGTCTTCCATTGCAATGAATTATGCAAATGTCTTCTCTGAGGCATGCCTGATAAACTGAGGCATCATGAACAAATCCATATGGTAATGCAGAATTCTTTCTATAAACTTGATTTTTGTGGTGGTGTCTGATTCCCTTAAACCAGGATGGGCAGCAAATTGTCATTCTGTCTCTGAGTCAAGAGTTGAACCAAATTATTAAATAGAATAAATTAATATTAAATGAATTAAATGAAATATGAAGTAGCAACTTGTTTTATTTATAATACAATGTTTATGTTCTTTGGAACTTAGCATAAAGTTGCTATTGAGAACAAATCATACAGGAACACTCCTTTTGATGGAAAAAGTAGATTTTTATTTCCTATAATTTACAATGGGTATGCATTTCAGGTTTCATGCCCCTCTTCAGTCATCAGTGAGATCTGACAACAGTTATTAAGTTACTACCAAAATAAGAATTCATTTTAAGATGTTCTTTCCCCTCCCCACCCCATTTCAATTCACTATACTGTATAAAGTATCAGACTTCCTGACTTTTTTCAAACCAGTTTTTATCGGTTTTAAAGGATTTATGTTTTTACTACCTTTATTAGTCCATTTTTATACATTTTAACCAAAATATTTTTATTTCTACAGGTGAATACTATTATTACTTTTTAAAAACATTTTATTATATTTATTTATTTATTTCCTTATTTTTTAATTTCAATTTTACATGTTCTATCCCACTATTTTAATAATTAGTTATTCCAGTTGTCACTATAATTATTTTTAGGTAATTACTTTTTAAAATAATATATAATATAATAAGGACTGAAGAGGGGCATGAAACCTGAAATGCATATACATTGTAAATTAGAGAAAATAAAAATCTACTTTTTCTATCAAAAGGAGTATTCCTGTATGATTTTGTTCTCAATAGCAACTTTATGCTAAGTTCCAAAAAACATACAACTAATTGAGAGAATAGCAAGTAACCAAGTATTATAATATAATGCTTTGGTAAAGCTCTATACATAATTTTATAATATAATGAGCCACATAATTTATTGTACTTGAACTACGAGACTAAGTAATATTAACATCAATATTGATAAAGATAATCACATAGAATTTGAGGTTTTCATTCATTATTCTTTTCCAAATTTTGAATTATTGTATTTCATCCTCAAAAAACTGTTCACACGTGTGTGTGAGATTATGAGGGCATAGGGTCAATTCCCTAATTGCCACTTACACATCAAGTTGGCAAAACTTGCCCACGTTGTTTGGATGGCTGTTATCGAGTGGCAAGGGAGGTGAGAAAGTCAGCAGTGACAGGAGACAGGTTTAACAAAATAACAAAGCAGTTATTATACAGCTAACACTAAAATACAGGAGGCTACACAGAGTTAAATGCATATATCTCTAGGTTATATAGGCTAGATGCAATTAACATAAGATTACAAAGTCTATGATTGACAACTGTTTAGTCTATTCTATAACAGCTATGCCTACTTCCGTTACGAGAGAGAGTTCACAGTCCGCTGATAATTACCTGTAAAGTTGGATGAGTCCTATATGCAGTGATGACAGTTCTTTATGGAAGCGTTGGGCGTTGTCAACGTTTTCTACTGTTGTCTTCTCCAGGTATGAGTCCTTTCTTGGAGGTGCAGGAGACGGGGAATTACTAAGACCAAATATAACTTCCGTGTGCGAACTCTTGAGCTTCCGGTGGCTCACACCTTTTATATCATTGTCGTGGGAAAGCTAACACGGGACTGACTTTAGTAGACAACGACGGTGCATTCTTTACAGCTATGTGTCAACTTTCCCACTGACTTGTTACTACAACCAGCGCCCTCTGATTTAATTTCTAGCTCTCCGTTTTTTCTAACAAAGATGTTTACATTTTGAAAACAACTGACATTACATTTTGATTTTAAGAGCCCCATAAAAATCTGCAGGCTCACAAAAAGAAATGATTTTTCTTGAAAGTCATGTAAATTTGTATATTTTTCTTCCACCAAATAAAATTTATAAAAATTCATCAAAGTAATGTTGTTAAATTTTGATTTTAGCACTAAATCCACCTGAAGCTCAATAAAGTTACATCTGTATATTTTCTGGCACATTATTTACATCAGCATCCATCAGATAAGCAAATATAGCAAATGTGGAATCTTTGTTTTGGAAGTTAGCAAACCTTGTATCAAATTGCTCTATTAGTGCTTTCAGTTCATCTCCATAATAATTAAGGGATAATTTTATGAGTTGCTAGAGTAGGAAAATGATAACAATTTTTAGCTCTTATCTGACTTTCCAACAATCTTAGTTTATTACAAAAGGCTTTGAAATGTCCATGCAGTTCATGAACAAATTGTCTTTGTTTTTGCAATTTAAGATTCAGTTCATTTACATATCCAGTGACATCTACAAGGAATGCTATATCACACCCACTCATTGTTTTACTTGGTTAATTGCATTTCCTTTTATGTCCATAAAATCTGCAATGTCTTGTCTCAGATCATAAAATCATTTTAACATGTTACCTTTACTCAACCACTTCACTTCACAATAATACGACACATCTTCATAATCCAAAAAAGGTCTACCAAATACTCCTTAAAGTGCATGTAACTTAATAAAGTTAATACTGGCTACTACAACTTCCATAACATTTGTGAATTTAATTGATTTTGCACACAAATTTTGTTGGTGGATAATGCAATGAAAATTTGTTAAATTTTCCAAATAGATCTGTAGTTCTATTGCTTTTTCATAAACTATTCCAATAAATCCCTTCTGTGCACCAGCCATTGCAGGGGCTCCATCAGTGCCTATGCCAGATAATAAACTCCATTTAAGTACAAATCTCTCAAAGACTGTATTGACTATTTCAAATAAATCTTCACCAGTCGTCGTTCCTTTTAATGACTGGAGTGCCAATAATTTTTCTGTGATGTTAAAATTTGCATCAATTCCTCAAATAAATATTGCTAGTCGCACTGTACCAGAGGCATCAGTGCTGTCATCCAAAGCAATTGAAAATGCATCCAATCTAGCAATCTTCTTTTTTAAACTTTTTTTGATATCATCAGCCATAATTTCTATCCATTGGACAACAGTGTCTCAACAAACAAATATTCTCAAAGTCATTTTTCTTTTCAAGATTTGCAACATCCATCAGACATTCTTTGATAAATTCTCCTTTACCAAATGACAGAATGCTTAGTGATTTTTTTGCTTACCACAAAGAAGGCTTTGATAATGCTGTGAGTGCTGCACATTCTTTGTTTGTTGAACATTTGCTGCTGGCTATCCAAGTTCTTCAACTTCTGTATTTCATCTTTTTGTAGTTGTCCAGCAACTTTTTGGTGATCTGCACATCTCAAAGTAAAGTGTCTCTTCAAGTTGTATTCTTTGTTGATGGATATGAATTTGTTGTACTGTACAGCAAATATACAGGCAAACTTTTATTAAGAATAAAATAATAATCCTCCATACACATCTTTAAATTGACAATTCTCTGCATCTACTTTTTTTTTTGACATAACCCCTGACATTGTCCCAAATTTATAAGCAATATTCAGAACTGTGAAACAAAACTCTTCTACACTGCAGGCACTGAACAAAGCACAAGACCAACTCAAGTACTGAACTGACATATTGTACATTGTAACATGTTCACACATGAAAGTGAGAAAGAGACCTTGGTGGGAGAAAACATGGTGTGTTTTGTGCAAGTCATATGAGGTCAGCTTAATGTGAGTTAGTAGAACACGCCACGTTTTCTCCCATCATGAATCAGACAAACTTTGCTGAAATAAATTAGGGCCAGATCAAAAGAAGTAGAGGACTGAATCTTGGCCTGCAGGCAGGGGTTGATCATATGTGTCTTAAACCAAAGAGCATTTTGTGGTTTCATTCACTTTGTTGTCCTTGTTGTCTTCTGTTTCTTCAACTCTTTGTGAATTTGTAATGCTTTCAATAATTTCAGCAGTCAGTCAAAATTTCCACAACAGCTTTATTTTCATTTATGTGTAACCACTTAAAAAATGAAATTAATAAGTGGCTATATGAGAAATGCCATTGGATTGTTCAGATGGCAGCTATGTATGTTGCCAGTAAGGCTTTCTTCAACAGAAGATATTCTTCATCACAGAATAGATTGTAATAATGCATAATAGCAGACCAAGGTTAGGCTTTAATTCTTATTGAAACCAGCAAAAAAAAATCAGGTAATGCCTTCAAGTCTGATTGTAAAAGATGTTTACACTATCATGTTCTAAAATTGGTATACACATATTTTAGTAAAAGCAGTAGAAGTGTCTAATCCATCTAATTCAATACAAACAAAATGAGTCATTTTCTCAAATCACACTGCTCTTAATTCCATTGGTCAATCTCATGATGTAAAAACATGCACAGCCACACCCCACAACTTTTGCCTTTATTTTCACCCAGTCTTTAGATCACCATATGTCCAAAATTATTCCAACTCCCTGAATACTAGCCTGCAGGATCATCAAACAATTTCAGATTGTTGGTTACTTTTCAGAGGGTTCCAGATTACTGGACATTCCGATTAGCAAGCACTAAATTAATAAACTTCTACTGTACAACATGAATACAGAGATAAAAGAAAATACAAGACACAACAAATCAAAATATTTATTTACAGCATATGTTTACAGCATATGCAAAATATTTATTTACAGCAATTTAAACAATCCAAACTCAAATTTAAAACAAACTTACCACTAAAGCTTTAGATGATTCCAAAAGGGGATTTAGATCAAGAAGATCTAATTCTGCCTGAAAAATATTTCAAAATCAATTTCTACTAGAAAATTAATCTTTTTCAAATGATGATGTACATAGAATTGATAAAATTACAATTAACATTTTAAACAATAATGGACAATTAGCAAAAATTATGAAATATTTTTTATATTTAAGTTTATTCTCTCTCATTCCTACAATACCATTATTAGAAATGAAGTTATCTTCCAGTCATTTTGTTTTATCATCTGTAATTTATTATATCAGACCAATTAAAAATGTGTATAGTACTTTTAGTCTGGACACATGAATTACATTACATTATATAAAATTAAATAAGAATCATAAAATCATTTCGTATGAAAATTTTCAAACTTATCTATCAAACCTATATAAAGTATAAAAGTTTTAGTAATATAATATGTAAATTAACAGTGACAAATTTTTCCAGAAATATTATTATTTCATTCATTTCAAAAGTATCTTTTTAAAAACTATTAGTAATTTAAATATTTGAAATTCCAATTTAACCTCTTTAAATTTGTTTTATTCATTTAAGAAAAGTTATCATGAGTAAATAATTGCTGCAAAATTAAACAACAAAACTAAGAAAAATTTAGCACAATAACAACAAAAATTTGTAATTTTTGTTGTTATTGTGCTAAATTTAAAAAATAAGTCATTTTTTATGACTATTTTTTTAAACATTTAGCATAATATTTAGCACAATAACAACAAAAATTTGTAATTTTTGTTGTTATTGTGCTAAATATTATGCTAAATGTTTAAAAAAATATAGTCATAAAAAATGACTTATTTTTAAAAAAAAAAAAAGACCCCCACTAGCCTTTATTTACTCAGGAACTTTTTTCTCATAACTGTTTTGAATTACATATCTGAATGTTTTTTGTTAAATAACTATTATATATATATTTATTTAAATGATAAAAACTATATATTTGTACAGATCTGTAATGTTTTTAAATGGATATTATGCCTATTGTAGCAAAATTGTTTCTTGGCAGTTATCACTCAAATTTGAACTTAATGACTAATTAGTTTCATACTATGATACACACATGTAATTTACACAAAAGGATTAGTTTTTCAGGATATAAGTCCCATTTTAAATTTGTGCATTTATTTAATATAATTATTGCAGAGAAGCTACTTCACCTGTATGAGTTTTTTCAAACTACACTATTTTGCATAAAAATTTCATTCTTGAGTTCAAAAACAAAAAGACTGAATTAAAAAAAATACATTGATGTTGAATATTATAAAATATACAATAATAAAAATTATTTCTAACTTTCAGAATTTAAAAATACAAATTTTGAATTAAAAATTATTTTTTATCCAAAAATAGTTTTTTTGGCCTCATATCTTAAAAGTTCAGTTCATACACAGACAGTATAAATACACATCAGTTTGGTTTTAAAACAATTTCAGTGAGAACGACTAGGGCAACTATTTATAGAATCATCCTGTATATAGATTTTGATGGTACAATTCTTTATATTAGTTTAATTAATATAAACAAAAACTAATGTTTTCATTTATATAGTGTCCCCCCATTTTCTATTATATAGAGAGAAGCCTCTAATTTATTTAAAGCTATTGATCTGTTTCTTCATATATTTATTTATAATGTTACACGACAATATGCATATCTATCTATACTAAAAAAAGTTCATTTAAAATAATTCAACATATTTCCATACTATAATTGATTTTTTCCAGATACAATTAGTTATACATTTTACTAAATAAATAAATGTATATATTTCCTTTGAAAGAGAAAGATTGTTTTGATTTTAAAAAAGTATTTTAAATGAATACTTTTGACTATTTTTTGAAAAAAAAATTTTTAAGTGCATATTATGACCTAAAATAAAACATTTTTATTGTTATATATAAATGTATTGATGTAATTCTGAGAAAGTTATTATATATATATAATAACTTATGTATACATATATATATATATGTATAATAATATGTATACATATACATATATATATGTATATGTATAATATAAATTATATTTAATAAAATAACTTCCTCAGAATTACATCAATACATTTATATATAACAATAAAAATGTTTTATTTTAGGTCATAATATGCATTTAAAAATTCATTTTTCAAAATAAAGTCATATATATATATATATAATTTTATAAAACAGCTAGGAAAAATAATAAAACCTTAAAATTTTCCATAAATGCAGCCTTAATTTTGCTAATAGTGTATATGAAAATAACATAAAATCACATTATATTGAACAATATACAGTTCAATCTGTCCATCAAATGTCACAAGAACAAGAAAAAAAATTCAAGATAGACATGTTGAGATATAGAAGTTCCTACACAGTAAACAGTTGTGAGATAAGCAAGGGGCCAAGGGTTAATACCTCTTGACCACTTACACTGCAACAGGTTGGTAAAACCCATTCTCAGATTGTCGGATGGCTTAGGAGGGCAAATCGAGTGGGGAGAACGTCGGTAAGTCGGCAGGTACAACAATAGACAACAGGTTATAACAATAACAAAACATTTATTAAATGACTAAGCTAGGTTACATAAGGCGATAACAATATATATATATAGGTTAAATGCAGTTAAATATGAGTTAACTATACAAAGGACCACTCTTAACAGCTTTAATGGCTATTCTGAGAGAGAGAGTTCACAAAGCTCTAAAATACAAATACCTCCACGAGGATATGACTAATATGCGTTCGTTGAATGGGCCATAGGAATCTTAGTCGGCGCAGGAACTGTAGAATGGTGATGGAAGTTCAAATTTTGTTGTCTGTCATATGGCGATGTCCTTTAGGTCGCTATGTCCGTGTATGGAGACAAGATGCACACATTAATAAGTATAACTTCCTTTGGTCACCCTGAGCTTCCAGGGCTCGAACTTTTATACATTCTTTGTGGGAAAGGAGTCACGTGATCGACTTCTGTTGACACTAACGGTGCATTCTGATCAACCAAGTGTCAACTTTCCCACTTAATTGTGAAAACAAAAAGTGACCTCCGATATAATTCTCATCAAGAGCGGGCTTTTTCCATCAGAGTTGTTTACAAAGGTTTTTTTCTGACATCTACATAAAAATCGCGGATCTCACACAGTAATAGATTTGATCGGGAGCATGGTATTTTATTATTAATTAATACAATAGCCAATACAGTACATACCTGCATTAGATGTAAATAAAACATTTCTTTTAAGGTATGTCAAAAGTTTGTCAATAATACCTGACTTTCTTCAACCAATTAGACACAAGCCAAACTCATAGCCAATCAGAGAAAAGCAGCATTAATTGCAGCTACATAATGTATTACAAGAGATGTTTCTCAACTACAGTTTATGCTATCAAAATATAGTTGCTGAGCTTCAAAGTTTTAATTGACACTTCAGTCCATAATTTAAGATAGAGATTTTGGGAGAAAATTATTTGAGATAAACATGGAAAATATTGAATTTAGACTAAAATGCAGGAAAAAAAATTGAAACAAAGAAGTTTGAGGTGAACATGTTTGAGATACTGGTTCAACTGAACCAGAATTAGTATAATACTGATATGTATTGTATATATTGTATAAGCTATATGTTTATATAATATGTACAAGTGCATCCTTTCTTGTTGCTTTTTAAGTTTAATGTTTTATATAAAAATGAAAAAATTAAATATAAATAATAAGTTAATGAAAAGTATTATATGGATATTTTATACATCTCAATTTAATTTGTCCCACTCTTTCTATCTCAGGAAAGAAATGTGAAAGCTCTTACTTTATAATTTAAATCTACATTCATCACAATTCAAATTACAAACTTGGAAGATAAGCTAACAAAAAGTATTTAAATGATGTCTTAGCTTCACAAAAAGAATTAAAGGCTATCAAAACATTGACTGTTATTGATATTTTTTCAGAAGTAAAAAATTATTATTTAAAAAATAAAATAAGTTAAAATATGTAAAAAATTAATTTGTAAGGATACATCAGATACAGTAGAGCATCGATTATCTGACCCCCCGATTAACTGTCACATAGGTTAACTGACCGTTCTGGTTGGCAAATTTCAAATGTCCACTAGTGATGTGTCACTACAATATTTGGCTATGTCTTGGCTACTTTAATATTTTTGTTAAATTTTTGCATGTTTTAGCTGGTAACATCAGCTTGACCATTGAAGGGAAGCCAATATTTACACGAGACTTAATTTTCTAATTATGAGTGGTTGCTTGTTTTGTGAGTAATAAAATNATTGAAATGGGGTGGGGAGGGGAAAGAACATCTTAAAATGAATTCTTATTTTGGTAGTAACTTAATAACTGTTGTCAGATCTCACTAAGGACTGAAGAGGGGCATGAAACCTGAAATGCATATACATTGTAAATTAGAGAAAATAAAAATCTACTTTTTCTATCAAAAGGAGTATTCCTGTATGATTTTGTTCTCAATAGCAACTTTATGCTAAGTTCCAAAAAACATACAACTAATTGAGAGAATAGCAAGTAACCAAGTATTATAATATAATGCTTTGGTAAAGCTCTATACATAATTTTATAATATAATGAGCCACATAATTTATTGTACTTGAACTACGAGACTAAGTAATATTAACATCAATATTGATAAAGATAATCACATAGAATTTGAGGTTTTCATTCATTATTCTTTTCCAAATTTTGAATTATTGTATTTCATCCTCAAAAAACTGTTCACACGTGTGTGTGAGATTATGAGGGCATAGGGTCAATTCCCTAATTGCCACTTACACATCAAGTTGGCAAAACTTGCCCACGTTGTTTGGATGGCTGTTATCGAGTGGCAAGGGAGGTGAGAAAGTCAGCAGTGACAGGAGACAGGTTTAACAAAATAACAAAGCAGTTATTATACAGCTAACACTAAAATACAGGAGGCTACACAGAGTTAAATGCATATATCTCTAGGTTATATAGGCTAGATGCAATTAACATAAGATTACAAAGTCTATGATTGACAACTGTTTAGTCTATTCTATAACAGCTATGCCTACTTCCGTTACGAGAGAGAGTTCACAGTCCGCTGATAATTACCTGTAAAGTTGGATGAGTCCTATATGCAGTGATGACAGTTCTTTATGGAAGCGTTGGGCGTTGTCAACGTTTTCTACTGTTGTCTTCTCCAGGTATGAGTCCTTTCTTGGAGGTGCAGGAGACGGGGAATTACTAAGACCAAATATAACTTCCGTGTGCGAACTCTTGAGCTTCCGGTGGCTCACACCTTTTATATCATTGTCGTGGGAAAGCTAACACGGGACTGACTTTAGTAGACAACGACGGTGCATTCTTTACAGCTATGTGTCAACTTTCCCACTGACTTGTTACTACAACCAGCGCCCTCTGATTTAATTTCTAGCTCTCCGTTTTTTCTAACAAAGATGTTTACATTTTGAAAACAACTGACATTACATTTTGATTTTAAGAGCCCCATAAAAATCTGCAGGCTCACAAAAAGAAATGATTTTTCTTGAAAGTCATGTAAATTTGTATATTTTTCTTCCACCAAATAAAATTTATAAAAATTCATCAAAGTAATGTTGTTAAATTTTGATTTTAGCACTAAATCCACCTGAAGCTCAATAAAGTTACATCTGTATATTTTCTGGCACATTATTTACATCAGCATCCATCAGATAAGCAAATATAGCAAATGTGGAATCTTTGTTTTGGAAGTTAGCAAACCTTGTATCAAATTGCTCTATTAGTGCTTTCAGTTCATCTCCATAATAATTAAGGGATAATTTTATGAGTTGCTAGAGTAGGAAAATGATAACAATTTTTAGCTCTTATCTGACTTTCCAACAATCTTAGTTTATTACAAAAGGCTTTGAAATGTCCATGCAGTTCATGAACAAATTGTCTTTGTTTTTGCAATTTAAGATTCAGTTCATTTACATATCCAGTAACATCTACAAGGAATGCTATATCACACCCACTCATTGTTTTACTTGGTTAATTGCATTTCCTTTTATGTCCATAAAATCTGCAATGTCTTGTCTCAGATCATAAAATCATTTTAACATGTTACCTTTACTCAACCACTTCACTTCACAATAATACGACACATCTTCATAATCCGAAAAAGGTCTACCAAATACTCCTTAAAGTGCATGTAACTTAATAAAGTTAATACTGGCTACTACAACTTCCATAACATTTGTGAATTTAATTGATTTTGCACACAAATTTTGTTGGTGGATAATGCAATGAAAATTTGTTAAATTTTCCAAATAGATCTGTAGTTCTATTGCTTTTTCATAAACTATTCCAATAAATCCCTTCTGTGCACCAGCCATTGCAGGGGCTCCATCAGTGCCTATGCCAGATAATAAACTCCATTTAAGTACAAATCTCTCAAAGACTGTATTGACTATTTCAAATAAATCTTCACCAGTCGTCGTTCCTTTTAATGACTGGAGTGCCAATAATTTTTCTGTGATGTTAAAATTTGCATCAATTCCTCAAATAAATATTGCTAGTCGCACTGTACCAGAGGCATCAGTGCTGTCATCCAAAGCAATTGAAAATGCATCCAATCTAGCAATCTTCTTTTTTAAACTTTTTTTGATATCATCAGCCATAATTTCTATCCATTGGACAACAGTGTCTCAACAAACAAATATTCTCAAAGTCATTTTTCTTTTCAAGATTTGCAACATCCATCAGACATTCTTTGATAAATTCTCCTTTACCAAATGACAGAATGCTTAGTGATTTTTTTGCTTACCACAAAGAAGGCTTTGATAATGCTGTGAGTGCTGCACATTCTTTGTTTGTTGAACATTTGCTGCTGGCTATCCAAGTTCTTCAACTTCTGTATTTCATCTTTTTGTAGTTGTCCAGCAACTTTTTGGTGATCTGCACATCTCAAAGTAAAGTGTCTCTTCAAGTTGTATTCTTTGTTGATGGATATGAATTTGTTGTACTGTACAGCAAATATACAGGCAAACTTTTATTCAGAATAAAATAATAATCCTCCATACACATCTTTAAATTGACAATTCTCTGCATCTACTTTTTTTTTGACATAACCCCTGACATTGTCCCAAATTTATAAGCAATATTCAGAACTGTGAAACAAAACTCTTCTACACTGCAGGCACTGAACAAAGCACAAGACCAACTCAAGTACTGAACTGACATATTGTACATTGTAACATGTTCACACATGAAAGTGAGAAAGAGACCTTGGTGGGAGAAAACATGGTGTGTTTTGTGCAAGTCATATGAGGTCAGCTTAATGTGAGTTAGTAGAACACGCCACGTTTTCTCCCATCATGAATCAGACAAACTTTGCTGAAATAAATTAGGGCCAGATCAAAAGAAGTAGAGGACTGAATCTTGGCCTGCAGGCAGGGGTTGATCATATGTGTCTTAAACCAAAGAGCATTTTGTGGTTTCATTCACTTTGTTGTCCTTGTTGTCTTCTGTTTCTTCAACTCTTTGTGAATTTGTAATGCTTTCAATAATTTCAGCAGTCAGTCAAAATTTCCACAACAGCTTTATTTTCATTTATGTGTAACCACTTAAAAAATGAAATTAATAAGTGGCTATATGAGAAATGCCATTGGATTGTTCAGATGGCAGCTATGTATGTTGCCAGTAAGGCTTTCTTCAACAGAAGATATTCTTCATCACAGAATAGATTGTAATAATGCATAATAGCAGACCAAGGTTAGGCTTTAATTCTTATTGAAACCAGCAAAAAAAAAAATCTGGTAATGCCTTCAAGTCTGATTGTAAAAGATGTTTACACTATCATGTTCTAAAATTGGTATACACATATTTTAGTAAAAGCAGTAGAAGTGTCTAATCCATCTAATTCAATACAAACAAAATGAGTCATTTTCTCAAATCACACTGCTCTTAATTCCATTGGTCAATCTCATGATGTAAAAACATGCACAGCCACACCCCACAACTTTTGCCTTTATTTTCATCCAGTCTTTAGATCACCATATGTCCAAAATTATTCCAACTCCCTGAATACTAGCCTGCAGGATCATCAAACAATTTCAGATTGTTGGTTACTTTTCAGAGGGTTCCAGATTACTGGACATTCCGATTAGCAAGCACTAAATTAATAAACTTCTACTGTACAACATGAATACAGAGATAAAAGAAAATACAAGACACAACAAATCAAAATATTTATTTACAGCATATGTTTACAGCATATGCAAAATATTTATTTACAGCAATTTAAACAATCCAAACTCAAATTTAAAACAAACTTACCACTAAAGCTTTAGATGATTCCAAAAGGGGATTTAGATCAAGAAGATCTAATTCTGCCTGAAAAATATTTCAAAATCAATTTCTACTAGAAAATTAATCTTTTTCAAATGATGATGTACATAGAATTGATAAAATTACAATTAACATTTTAAACAATAATGGACAATTAGCAAAAATTATGAAATATTTTTTATATTTAAGTTTATTCTCTCTCATTCCTACAATACCATTATTAGAAATGAAGTTATCTTCCAGTCATTTTGTTTTATCATCTGTAATTTATTATATCAGACCAATTAAAAATGTGTATAGTACTTTTAGTCTGGACACATGAATTACATTACATTATATAAAATTAAATAAGAATCATAAAATCATTTCGTATGAAAATTTTCAAACTTATCTATCAAACCTATATAAAGTATAAAAGTTTTAGTAATATAATATGTAAATTAACAGAACATATTATACAATTTTCACGACGTATATACTGACCAAGAATACTCTCAATTTAAGAAGTGTCCCCATTTTTTGAGATGGAATTTTCAGAGAAAATTGAATGTTAATTCGACGCGAATTTAATTTAAAATAATTAATAAAGAATAAAATTATTAATAACATATTTAATATAAAATATAATTAACAAAAAATATTTATATTTATATTTATTTAATCTTATGAGTTACCTGAATTTAAGAGCAATCCCGTACGTGATAAAGTGCATTTTAAATTCGAAGTAATGCAGTATTAATTATACAATCATTTTTATTCAATTAAACACACCTGTATAAAGATTTTTTTTTGTATTATTATTATTCTAATTTTTGCATAATCTATTTAACAAGATAATGTGTTTTTACTTAGCATTGTCTGAATAACGTACATATAAAATAAATGACTTCGGGTTTTTTTTTACTTCTATTTAATATATTTCACTCGCCTTTATAATAATTATCTTAACTTGTTGACATTGTAAAGCCGAATAATAAATATGTCACGAAAATTTGTTAATAGAAAAATTAATCGTTTAGCTTCTAAAATTAAGGTTAAAATAAATAAATAGGTGAAATATTCTCGCATTCTTTCTATTGTTTGTAGGTATTATCTGCCAAATTTTGCAGCTGTTCTGCAGCCATTAACTTAATTATAAATTTAAAAACAATATATAAAGTTATCTGCGATATTAGAAAAAAAAATTACAGCTTTAAATAATTTAGTTATACGTAATGTTTTTATGTATGGCGAGAGGTAAAGTTTTCAGTTAGTTACCTGAGGGTTATAGTCGAACACGCGAGATTCAGAACTAAATTATCTGTCAATAATGATCGTAAAATATTAAATTTATTTAATTATGTTTGATAATCTTTCAGATTTGTCAGGAATACTATAAATAATCTTAATTATTTAAATATTTATGCATTATTTGTATAAAGTTATTAAGTTGTAAAACGAACACATTTAAAGGATTCGAAACTAAATTAGTTATCGATAATAAGGTTAAATTGTATTTAATTAAGTTGAAGAAGCTCTTAAGTTCGCCAAGATTTTAAAAAATTACTTATATACAGTACATTAATTATGCATACTTTCGGATAAGTATAGATAAAATAATCAAGATTTTAATTAGTTATGCGAGCNCAGATACAATTAGTTATACATTTTACTAAATAAATAAATGTATATATTTCCTTTGAAAGAGAAAGATTGTTTTGATTTTAAAAAAGTATTTTAAATGAATACTTTTGACTATTTTTTGAAAAAAAAATTTTTAAGTGCATATTATGACCTAAAATAAAACATTTTTATTGTTATATATAAATGTATTGATGTAATTCTGAGAAAGTTATTATATATATATAATAACTTATGTATACATATATATATATATGTATAATAATATGTATACATATACATATATATATGTATATGTATAATATAAATTATATTTAATAAAATAACTTCCTCAGAATTACATCAATACATTTATATATAACAATAAAAATGTTTTATTTTAGGTCATAATATGCATTTAAAAATTCATTTTTCAAAATAAAGTCATATATATATATATATAATTTTATAAAACAGCTAGGAAAAATAATAAAACCTTAAAATTTTCCATAAATGCAGCCTTAATTTTGCTAATAGTGTATATGAAAATAACATAAAATCACATTATATTGAACAATATACAGTTCAATCTGTCCATCAAATGTCACAAGAACAAGAAAAAAAATTCAAGATAGACATGTTGAGATATAGAAGTTCCTACACAGTAAACAGTTGTGAGATAAGCAAGGGGCCAAGGGTTAATACCTCTTGACCACTTACACTGCAACAGGTTGGTAAAACCCATTCTCAGATTGTCGGATGGCTTAGGAGGGCAAATCGAGTGGGGAGAACGTCGGTAAGTCGGCAGGTACAACAATAGACAACAGGTTATAACAATAACAAAACATTTATTAAATGACTAAGCTAGGTTACATAAGGCGATAACAATATATATATATAGGTTAAATGCAGTTAAATATGAGTTAACTATACAAAGGACCACTCTTAACAGCTTTAATGGCTATTCTGAGAGAGAGAGTTCACAAAGCTCTAAAATACAAATACCTCCACGAGGATATGACTAATATGCGTTCGTTGAATGGGCCATAGGAATCTTAGTCGGCGCAGGAACTGTAGAATGGTGATGGAAGTTCAAATTTTGTTGTCTGTCATATGGCGATGTCCTTTAGGTCGCTATGTCCGTGTATGGAGACAAGATGCACACATTAATAAGTATAACTTCCTTTGGTCACCCTGAGCTTCCAGGGCTCGAACTTTTATACATTCTTTGTGGGAAAGGAGTCACGTGATCGACTTCTGTTGACACTAACGGTGCATTCTGATCAACCAAGTGTCAACTTTCCCACTTAATTGTGAAAACAAAAAGTGACCTCCGATATAATTCTCATCAAGAGCGGGCTTTTTCCATCAGAGTTGTTTACAAAGGTTTTTTTCTGACATCTACATAAAAATCGCGGATCTCACACAGTAATAGATTTGATCAGGAGCATGGTATTTTATTATTAATTAATACAATAGCCAATACAGTACATACCTGCATTAGATGTAAATAAAACATTTCTTTTAAGGTATGTCAAAAGTTTGTCAATAATACCTGACTTTCTTCAACCAATTAGACACAAGCCAAACTCATAGCCAATCAGAGAAAAGCAGCATTAATTGCAGCTACATAATGTATTACAAGAGATGTTTCTCAACTACAGTTTATGCTATCAAAATATAGTTGCTGAGCTTCAAAGTTTTAATTGACACTTCAGTCCATAATTTAAGATAGAGATTTTGGGAGAAAATTATTTGAGATAAACATGGAAAATATTGAATTTAGACTAAAATGCAGGAAAAAAAATTGAAACAAAGAAGTTTGAGGTGAACATGTTTGAGATACTGGTTCAACTGAACCAGAATTAGTATAATACTGATATGTATTGTATATATTGTATAAGCTATATGTTTATATAATATGTACAAGTGCATCCTTTCTTGTTGCTTTTTAAGTTTAATGTTTTATATAAAAATGAAAAAATTAAATATAAATAATAAGTTAATGAAAAGTATTATATGGATATTTTATACATCTCAATTTAATTTGTCCCACTCTTTCTATCTCAGGAAAGAAATGTGAAAGCTCTTACTTTATAATTTAAATCTACATTCATCACAATTCAAATTACAAACTTGGAAGATAAGCTAACAAAAAGTATTTAAATGATGTCTTAGCTTCACAAAAAGAATTAAAGGCTATCAAAACATTGACTGTTATTGATATTTTTTCAGAAGTAAAAAATTATTATTTAAAAAATAAAATAAGTTAAAATATGTAAAAAATTAATTTGTAAGGATACATCAGATACAGTAGAGCATCGATTATCTGACCCCCCGATTAACTGTCACATAGGTTAACTGACCGTTCTGGTTGGCAAATTTCAAATGTCCACTAGTGATGTGTCACTACAATATTTGGCTATGTCTTGGCTACTTTAATATTTTTGTTAAATTTTTGCATGTTTTAGCTGGTAACATCAGCTTGACCATTGAAGGGAAGCCAATATTTACACGAGACTTAATTTTCTAATTATGAGTGGTTGCTTGTTTTGTGAGTAATAAAATAATTTAAAAATAATTTTTAACAATACAATAGCGACGATTATTATTTTTTAAAAAAATGTGTTAGACTTAACATCGATGAAATTTCAATGTGAAGTTGGTTAATAGCGATATACTAATATACTATACTAATAATGTGTTTTTTTCATTCTTTTTGGTTATCCGATTTTTTCAGTTATCCGACCAACCTGAGTCCCCAATTCAGTCAGATAATCGATGCTCTACTGTATATATGTCTAAAAATTTTGTGAATCTAATCAAAAGTTTTCTAAGAACTTCTTAGAAAACTTTTGATTAGATTCACAAAATTTTTACTTTCTTGGCTGTTATATAATAGAGGGAAAACATAATCAGTAAAAAACCCCAAGATTTTTTTTTATTTTTTGACTCAGGACCTCAAAAAAAATGTCAAGAATTGAAAAAAAATCAGCTGTGTGTTTGTGTGTGTATTTGTTTTTTTTTTCCACCCACTTTGAAGCTTCTATTTGCTCTGCCTTCTGTTGAAAATTTTTGAAATTTTGCAGGAATGTTTATGCATGAGGAGGAAATGTTTCTAGAAATTTTCAGGAAAAATTGATCATTAATCCAAAGATATTAAGGGGATGGAGCCATTTCTCAAAAAGTTTCCAATTTATGAAATATTTTACATAAAAACTAAATGATTTGTTTTTAAAAATTTTTTCAAAGATCACCCCATTCCCAATATTAACAGATTTTGATGTTTTCTTAAATAACTTTTGATAGTCTTAACTCAATTGGTTTATTCTAATTTATTAATATATACATATTAAAAAAAAATTGAAATTGACATTTTTCCTATTCCAGATCTGGGGTAAAACTATAAAAGTCTATTTTTTTTCATGAAATTCTTTGAGATGAAA